ATACATACATACATACATACATACATACATACATACATACATACATTACATACATACATACATACATACATACATACATACATACATACATACATACATACATACATACATACATACATACATACATACATACATACATACATACATACATACATACATACATACATACATACATACATACATACATACATACATACATACATACATACATACATACATACATACATACATACATACATACATACATACATACATACATACATACATACATACATACATACATACATACATACATACATACATACATACATACATACATACATACATACATACATACATACATACATACATACATACATACATACATACATACATACATACATTACATACATACATACATACATACATACATACATACATACATACATACATACATACATACATACATACATACATACATACATACATACATAACATAACATAACATACAAACAAACAAACATACAAACGTACATACATACATACATACATACATACATACATTACATACATACATACATACGTACGTACGTACATACATACATACATACATACATACATACTTACATTACATACATACATTACATACATACGTACATACATGGACAATTTGATTACATAAATGCATACATACATAGACATAATGACATACATACATTTAATACATACGGGCGTTCATGCATGACCTAAAGTTGCATTGCATTACAGACATATAGATGGTAGTTTACTCATGATATTGGCAGAATTGCAAAAGGACGAAACTGCTAAGTTCAATCATTTGCATCTGGTGTAAGCCTATCGCAAACATGCGGGCACAGAAGCGTGTGTGTGTGTGTGGGTCTCTACAGTTGGGTCAGAACGCTCTGAGACTTAGGTCAAGACCCATGCCATCGGTTGCCAGGCTATGCAGTACTGTATCGAGCTGATTCAAATGAGCTTCATCAAGCCTGAGTAATACCAGCAATAGGACAGGAAAACTCTGCTCTAAGTGTGGGACTGCTCCAACGTGATTAGGTCATTCAGACTGATGTATTCTGCCTGCCAACAAATGATTGACCAGTCAGACGAGACATGATAACAGCAGCAATGAAACATGATGCCAGCCGCCAGCCTTTGTTGCTTTGTTTGATTCTCGATGCCGCTTCCGCGCACTGCGTGCCTCAAAATCGCAAGTATCAATTAAAGATCAACAAGGAAGGAACTCATCAATCCACCCGCCAGCACGCACATTGGTTTTCTTCTGGCGTAGCGGTATCTTGCTGACTGTCCTTCTAGCTCTGATTCTTCCACTTCCGCCAAAGCTCAGTTTCAACGTTCTCCAGCACGAATTCATGCAAGATCATTTCCAAGTTATCCTGCCAGGTCGATGGTTCAAGTTGCACGTGCAACACACGGACGGCAAGAATACTTTACGTCCAGCATGTGACATCATTTGACTCAATGAAGCCCGCACAGGCAGAACAAACCCACGCTAAAAAAAATGGTGTCGTGCCAACACAGGAAATCCATCAGGTTCATAAAGACTAAACATGACAGCCGCAAAGCATATTCCCGGCAAGAGACGCCAAATTGCAATGGGTTTAACTTGACGAAAGCTGGCCCGGAAGTATAGAAAGACAATAATAATCCTCACACCTCTCCCGCCTGATGAGAAACAAATCGTAAACACGTCAAGGTCCCGGCTTCTGCAAGTTCTGATGAGCAAGATTAGCGTCATGCGTCACAATCTCTCCTGTCAACTTCTCGCGCGCGCGCAACGCTGTAGCTTGATGCTGCGCGTGATGATGCTGCGCGTGATGTCGCGGCAGAGGATTCGCGAGCTCAAGACACATTCGCACGGACGCCACAGCGAGAGTGCACGATCTCTGCAGAGGGTTCGCTGAGCTCAACACACATTCGCACGGCGCCGCAGCGAGAGCGCTTCACAATCTCCGCAGAGGGTTCGCCGAGCGCGAGACGTTCGCACGGCGACACAGCTTTCGTCTTGCAACGCTTGCGACGACGCTGCGCCTTCACAGACCCTGTTGCTGAAAACGCTGCGCAACATAGCATCAGCGCAAAACATACTGCGCCCACCACGAAAAACACATGCCAGTGTCACAAAAATCCGCGCTGGCCATGGAGTCCTGCCGTTAGCACACAAATCGAAGATCGGCACGGCGCCACAGCGAGAGCACGATCTAACAAACGATTTTGGCGCGAGGCTACCTCGAAAAACACATTCCGCGTCGTCGCGAAAATCTCCGCGCGGCTAGGCTTCCCTCCAAATTGGAGAAAAAAAAGCGCTTCGCGCGAGGCTTCTGGAAAAACGTGGCGTGTCCCTTTACTGTACTGCCCCTGCCAGCGAAAGCCGAAACATGAGCACGGCACGACAGCGAGAGCGCACGCGCAAACCCACATTTCGCGCGAGACTTTCCCTCTTACCGTAAGAACACCCTTAGTGTAAACACTATTCGGGGGACAATTGCAAGCACGCAAGCAACTAGAAAAAAAGTTTGCTTGTTGGCAGGGTAGCACGAAAGAAATAACACAAGAAAGAAAGAAACAAACAAAGAAGGAAGTCTAGAAAGCAATCAAGCCAATGAGGATGCATAGCAAAACAGCAAAATTGCAAACAAAAAAGCGAGCAAGCACGAAAACATGCAAACAAGCTAGCATGCTTGAGGCTGGGATTGAAAGCCGATCAGGCTGCCTTACTTATGACATGGGAAGATGATGACAATGGGGGTGGCGAAGCATGTCACTGCCGTGTGTTCACTTTGCGTTGCCCAGCCATAGTCGTCGGCAACTCAGCGCTATATCAATGTTGTTAGTGTGTGTCCTATCCAGGATGTTTCAAGGGTAGTTTCGTAGCTTGTTATTGAAATTGGATCCTCGATTTACATACTGAGTACGCCTGCTACTAGCACCTCTGAATTCATCGATAGCTGCTCCGGAGAGTATGTCAAGGGAATGTTCACCAAACAGGTATCCACCGTTCTGACTCTACCAGTAGGTCTTTCAAACAACTCGTCCCAAACTCCTAGGTGCTCTGCTACTGTGAGGCGCAGAACAAGGCAACAGTCTGGGGGGAAGGGTACCTTGAAACAAGCACTTTGAACATGGTATCTATAGGTTTGGCTTTTGCCTCTTTGTCAATCACATTCAAGCACCAACGCGCACCAAGTACCAATGCAAACTGCCAGTGTTTGATGTGCACTTCACACAAAGGTCCTGCTCAGCCTTGTAGGTCTTCGCTGGATCTGGCCCTCCACCCGGCATCATTGGTGCTCCACCCATAGTTCCCATCCTGACGGTCGAATCATGACAGGACAATACGTGGAACCAGATCCAGACCAACAAACCAGCCAAACAAACCAAAAAACAATAATCATCTCCGACGGAGCTCATCGCCATCATGGGGTCCTCTGCTTCAACGTCCGACTTCGTGAAAAATGATTGGACTAGTCCAATCAAGCTATGACTGCTCATCATGACAAACCTCGCTTGCAATGTCTGCGTTGTCAGCAAAGTGGAGCAAATGAAGTAATCAAACTTGAACTACCCAGCAAGAGTCTCTAAGGCCGAAAAACATGCCAGAAAGAACCAAGCCACATGTACCAGCACAGAGAGGAAACATAGCCAGGCTCCAGTGATGTCACCTCGACCCCTCGCTGCAACATGCCCTGCAGGGAAAGCAAAGTGCACATGCCCACTTTGTCAGTGGAGCAATCTGTTTAGTGCGTGCTCATTCTTTCTTTTGCATGCATTTGCATGCATTTGCCATGCATTTGCCATGCATTTGCCATGCATTTGCCATGATCCCAGCCTTGAACTGGAATGTCAAAGGAAAAGGAGTCTTGGCCACCAGGAAGCCAGAGAACAGGTGTGAAACCCAGTATGCCAGCAGCCCTTGAGACACCATGAAAACCATCTGACCCTTCATCATCCCCATAGCAGCCATTGGATCAGATCCTCCTGACAACGCCTCCATGGGGTCTTTTGCCTTTGGGACAGACTTCACGAGCACTCCCACATCTTTCTTCACAAAGTAGGCCTTTCGTGACTTGAAAGCCTTTTCGGTCAAGAAATGAGATGCAGCACGCAGCATCTTGCACCGTCCCAGCATACTTTGAGTCTTAACCTCCTTGACATCCACCTTCGGGTCAGACTTGAAGAGAATCATCAAGCTTGATCTGATCATGGAAGTCAGGACGACCACGACGAAAATGGGCAGGAGCGCATTGTCTCGAATTTTTGGATCCAGCAAAATCCCCATCAAGTCAGGGGCATGAATGCTCAAACTATTCGGCCACGTATTGTACCAAAATGCCTACTCGACATGCACAGTGCCAACAACAGACCACCCCAAGCAAATGTGCTGCACGCTGTATGAAGAACAAGCTTTTGAAACCCAAAAGCATGCGCAGTTGCAAAGCAGCGCTCTGAGTTTTCATGAAAAGACACCCAAGGATTTAAGTGATGTGATACTCAGCTCTCAGACAGCACAGGTTCACGCATTGCACACAAACCTGTACAAGCAAAACAATGATGCATTTTGCGGGAAGTCGAGGAAAATAACGTTGACCTTCCAGCTACATATGCCTGTCGTTCGCTTACAAATTCCATGCTGTAATTTGAATTAGAGTGAAACTGGAAACAAGAGAGTAGAGCAGTAAACTGGGTCGCGAGCAATGATGTACTTGCTCGCCCTTGCTGCCACACAAGGCCTGAAGCCCAATCCAATGCAAGGCACCAAGCACATTGCAGGAACAATCAAGTAGGCTCCGTGCAGCAGCCAGGAACCTTTGCAAATGTTGCGTAGGCAATCATTTCCACGGCCGAGTTGCACGTTACACTGAATCCAAAGCAACCTGCAGCAATGACGATGCGTCTCTCCTGCGCAGTCCCATCATATGCTAAGCAACAAACATTCTAGCACAAGATGTCCAAACATTGCAAACTCCTTGGCATCACTGCGTGGGTGCGTGGTGCAAAAGCGTTGCCATGAAGTCAGCCTACGCTTCAATGCCGCAAGAGAGAAAAGAAAAAAAAAAAAAAAAAAAAAAACTACTGCCTGGGCCCATGTGTGCACAGGGGAGAGCAATGCATGTCTGTTAAAAGCAATGACAACAGCCCTGAAACGTGTACATTGTGAGTTTCGAATGCAAATGTGGATTTGTGATTGCGCATGCGTGTGTGTGTGTGTGTGTGTGTCTGCAGACGTTCGTATGTCGTGTTGTAGTGCAAGAAAACATGCACAGCGTGTAAGTCACACAAACGTGTTTGCAACTGTGCACACGTGTCTGCACGCACTGATTTTGCTTTTGCCATTTTTTTTTCACATTAGTATGTGTTTCGCCCCATGTGACATCCAGCTGCGTTGACATCTTGAGCACGCTATAACATGACCGTCTGCAAAGATTCCATGGTGCAAGCTGCCAACGTACATGCATAAACGTGTTTTGGTGGCATTGAACGTGGCAAAAAAAGAAAACAAAATGGCATCAAAGGTCAACAAAATGTGCCAAACGCATCATGTGTCTAAGTTCTCCGCCATCCAAAATGGATTACGGATATTTGGGTTTTCCTTTGATCATAGCCAAGAGCATGGGACTCAAATGCGATCTACTCATTTCCTTCATTCATCATGCCCTCCAAAATGGATTACGGATATTTGGGTTTTCCTTTGATCATAGCCAAGAGCATGGGACTCAAATGCGATCTACTCATTTCCTTCATTCATGATAGCAATTTTGAAGGGTATCATCACTTTCCCCACGTGTTGTGAACACTAGCTGTTCCATTCCAAGCCCTTCATGTGCGAAAGTGCCATGTCAGTGAGCTTCTTCGAAAATGACGAAATCCAACCTTGTTTTGAACACTTGAATTGTTGCTTGGAATTGCGATTTGCTCTCACGTTTGGCCCAGCTAGAACCCACATTTTGAATCTGGCATAAACTACTAGCCGGACCGATAATCGGCGCGACAAAATTGGATGTCACTGCGCTCATGGTGCAGCCAAACAAAAACGGCGCTTGGGTTTTGGCACTTACCACAACGCGCCCCCATCAAACCGTGTGCGATGCTCCAGTGTGATTCACTAAACCGTGTTTTTCGGTTTGGCGAAACAAGAGAGATATCAAGAAAAACGAGCCTAATTTCTGTCAAAATTCCCACGACACACATCAACCTGTATAACTGCTGCTGCTGGCGCTTAACCTTACCATGTGTCAGGCCTGTGGGCGGGTGTGCTTGCCACGCGCCAAACACGCATGCAATGACGGAGAGCATGGGCGGGTGTGCTTACCGTGTGCCAGGCGTGTACTCAGGCGCCCTGCGCCAGGCATGGCCAGTACTCAGGAAAGCATGGGCGGGTCCGGGCTGCAAGTTCACCAGGTCCACAGGTGGTCTGGAATGCGTATCTCGGAGAGCTATCAAGGTTGACTGCAAAGACGCTAGCCACAACATGGTCGCCCAAATGAGCAACCCAATGCACGGCACTCATTTAAAGGCTTGCCAGTTTGACCAACTGATTCAAACTGAATGGTGTTCTGGGCAAAGCTGTTTTCAGCTGCACACAACGCAGTTCTGGAACTGGTTTTTTTTCAAAGAGACCGGTGCTGCGATGACACGGAAGAAAAGGAGCACTGTGCTCATCTGGCAAAAGATCATCCACGAAAAGAAAGGCTTCATGCGATTGCCATGCCAGCAGCCTGCGCGCTCGACGCAGCAAGAGGCTCCTGTGCCACCAATGTGCTGAAATAACACCCTCCAACATGGCAAACTCTTCAATGGTAACTGATTGCTTAGCAGGGTGGACCTGAGTTTGCTTGTGCACAGCCTTGAGACTTGTTTTGTTGATCCACGCGCCGTTGCGATGTCGCCAGTCCGCTGTTATAGCGCAAAGATGAGGAAAAAAAGAAACGGTGTCGAAGATAAACCCAGGACAACCAACACAAACAAAACACACAACAAACAAACACAACACCCACAAGGAACTTCGACACAAGGGGGCATGACGCCGCCCGTCACCGACATGAAAGCCAGTGGCAATAGGTTGAAAAATAAGGGCACCGATCCGGAGACCAAGGTCTCAACAAATCAAGAAACCCCACGTCAACGTCGGAAGCCACTTAGTGGCATCACTAGTCAGGTTCGGAAACAGAAGTCTCAACAAACCCGCAGAAAAGAGATTCTAGGCCAAGTCAAAAAAACGACAGGTCAGGAAACAGGAGTCTCAACTGACCAATCATCGATTGAAAGGGCCGGAGCACCTCAAACGAAGGCCGAAATTGAGTGAAGGCAGCTATCTGCGCGTTGCGCTTGAGGCGCACTAGCAGCGTGAGGAAGCGCATGGGTGGGGCCTGAGATCGCAAGCGCTGCTACAGGGCTGCCAGCAACCAGGAGGGGGGCCAAAACCAGGAACCAAAGTTCAGCAGGGCAAAGTCAACGTGTCGCAAACGGTATCCATTTTTGGGTGTGTTTCTGGCGCCAATTTTGGGAACCAAAACTAAGCCTTTCTGTTTCTGGCGCCGTTCACCAAGACCTACTAGGTCGGCGCAATGCAAAGCCCTTAGTCGCGATGCGTCTCGCAAAGCTGAGCAACGCTCTGCAAGTTCTTTCGCGCAAGCACTTTCTAGCCAAGCGAAGCGCAACACGCCGACGCAACAGCCAGAGCACGCAAGTCCCTGCAAGTTTCTCACAGGGCAGCTTAAAACTCATTCACTGCAAGCTAAAGGCCATCTAAACGAAAATAGTTGCCATAAACACTCTGCAAGAAGAATGCTGGTGCAACGGCGGTGCGTCAAAAGAGGAGTATGCGGCACACGTGCTTGCACCCAGGTCACAGGACCGCAGGTCTTGTAACCTCGCCGGTAACAGACCGCAGGTCCGACTGGTGAAGAGAACGCGGACAGCGGTCCGAGTCTCTGTAGAACTGTGTAGCCGCTTGATTAAATTGTAAATGCAACAAACTTCAAGGCGGCTAGTATTAGCTTCATTGGAAGGCGCTCACAGTCGGCAGCGACAGGAAACAACGCCCAAAATACTACACCGTGCAAGCTATTTACGGAAAAGAAGATCCACGAAATGTCGAAGCAAATTCCAAGCGCACCGGACAGCCGGGGCAAGCTTGGGCACTAGCAGCACCAAAAACGCAGCCAAGCTTTGTCTTCATTGAAAAGCGCAATTTCCCCAGACAAGCTCAAGTACCCCTCCGATAGCTTACCTTACCTTAGCTTACAATGCATTGCATTGCATTACATTGCACACATACAGTACAGACACACATACTGGTCGCTTTTCCTCGTTAAAACTCTGTCCCTGGCGGTTCTTAACGGTCGCGTTTCCCACGTCTTGGAAAGTCTCTGCTCATCTTCTCACCAGCTGCAAACTTGCCAATAGAGCTGCCCATACCCAGAAACGTCCCCGCTGCAACAAGGCGCCCGCGTATAGAGTGAAGCCACCAAAAACATTGAGCCGGCCCAACGTGGACACCCCTGAAAACACAGTTGCGCCTGGCCCCCAAAACTCAAGTCTGTCTTGCGCTGCTGGCGGGCAAAAGCGCAAAGCCTGCCACTAACACAAGTTCACAACAGCCGTCCTTACACAATTCCCCCTTCAGCCAAAAAACTTTCAGACACAAAACACACACACACACACACGCCTACGCACACGCCACACACAGACACTTGACACAGCCAGAGCCCAACCAGAAAGTTGACATCTGTTTTTCAATAAAGGAGAAGTACAGGTTTGGTCAAAGCGCTGTCGGCCTCGTCTGCCTTTGTTGCAACCTCCTTGAACAGCAAATTGCCAACTTTACGATCGCCAATCCGCCAAATAAGAAAATTAGCATTGGTTGTGTTCACATTTCTCGGGCGTTTTGTTGGCAGAATGCTAGTATCTGCCTCAACGATTGTTTCAGAAGCGGCGGTGCAAAATTGGCAGGCGGCAGGTTTGTAAGCTCGTAGCGCAAGGGCTGAAGCGACTTTGGGCGGGTAAGTCCCACTTGCCGTGGCGCGGCACTCCTCCTGTGGCGCGCACAGACCTTGTGGCTGCATTTTTTTTTGCGCGTGCCCAAGGCGAACCTTTGCACCCGTTTGGTCAGAATGTTCGTAAGTCTGAAGTTTTGAAACGAAAACCTGACGAACTAGCAAGAAACATCAGCCTCTGCAGGCTCAAACGTGATTTGATACCCATTACCATTGCGCAACTGCGCCAGCGCTTCTGTGCCGGCGAGACTACAGAAGCTCCGCCTGTTAACGCACCGCTGTG